CAGTATAAGCAGTATTCTTGAAAGCATTCAGATTAAAAGGCATCGATAATCTTTTGGTCTTTCTTATTCATTGTCCAACTTTCATGTGTATATGAAGCAAATGAAAATAGCCGTGGCTTGGGTCAGGTTCACCTTAGTCTTTAAACAGAGAGCCTTGCTCTTCAGGACTTCAAAAAGGCCCTTGACAGCAGATTTGCCCAGTGTAACTTGTCTTTTGATTTCTTGATTGCTGTTGCCATGGGTATTCATTATGTGTCAAAATGAAATGAAATCCTTGAGAACTTCAGTCTTTTCTCCATCTATTGTGATAATTGTCTGTTGGCCCAGTGGTGATGATTTTTTGTTTGCTTTAGGTTGAGTTGTAACCCATACTGAAGGCTGTATAGTCTTTGGACATAAGTACTTGAAAGTTGTCTTTTTCCCTGCCAAAAAGGTTGTACCATCTTCATCTTGCAGTTTGTTGATGAGTCTTTCTCCAATCCTGATGCTGTGTTTTTCTTCATATAGTCCAGCTTCTCAGACTATTTGCTCAACGTACAGATTGAATATTTATGGTGAAAGGATATGTCCCTGTTGCACAGCTTTCTTGATTGTGAACCATGCAGTATCCCCTTACTCTGTTCAAATGACTGCTTCATGCATGTATCATATGAGCACAATTAAGTGTTCTGGAATTCCCATTCTTCTCAGTGTTCTGCAATTTTGTTCTGCTGTTATTCAGAGTTCTTCAGGGTCCATTGTTTCAGAAGAAATGGCTTAGTCTGTCTCAGTCTGTAAATTCTGCGGAAACTTGGGGGCCCTGCTGGTGTTTGAAATACTAGTTTGCAATATCACAACAACATACAAGTCATGACAGAGTGGCAGATGAGTGATGGCAACCATGGCCAGAAAGGCAGTGTAAAAATGATCCATTAAGAGAATTCTGGTGGCCTAGTGGCAAGAAGCTGCACTGCAATCCCAGATGTGTGTGGTTTGAATCCACCAGATGCTCTGCTGGAGAAAGAGGGGCAATCTCCTCCTATACCAGTCAGGTCCGATTTGATGGCACACACACACATACAAATAATAAAAAAAATTTTTTTTTAAAGTGATCCATCACACTGTAACTGGAGTCTCCGGGGACATAGGCAGGAGCAAGTGGAGGTCTGCACCCACGGTGTGCTTAGTCCTTGAGGGAGACCTCAGGCTAGGACTTGAGGCCATGCCAGGCCCTGGGGTGAGTATAATCCTGGAAGGTGCCCTGCGGGGTTGGCAGCAATGGGGCCGAGGGAACCTGGGGACTGGTTGACAGGGTGATGAGGGCAAATGAAGGCTATCTTAGCCTTTAGTGTTGCCCTAACAGAAACACCATAGTGGGTGGGCTTAAGAGGGCCGAACAGTCACTTTTTTTATTTTCACTTCAGAGGCTAGAAGTACAAATTCAGGGCACCGGGTGGCCTGTGAGAAGAAGCTGCACTGCAATCCCAAAGTCACATGGTTCAAATTTACCAGCTCCAACACAGTCACCTCTTACACAGTTTGTTGTTGATTGCTGTTGAGTTGAGCACAACTCACAGCAACCCTGTGAACAAAAGGCCTGAAGCCTTTCAACAATTAGTTATTTATCAAAGTTCACAGAGTTTCTAGATGCATGTTTAGGAAGTGGATGCCACTGCCTCAGAAAACCTGCTGGAGGGTCATCTGTGGGTTCATTCCTACTTGATGGCATATGGCAGTGGCTCTAAGGGAAGAGCTTTTGACTTTGGGGGAAGATCCTTATCTCAGTTCCTGGGGCCCTGAAGTTCCTGGAACATCTTCACTTGGCATCTGTCTTTCCTCACTGGTGCTTGCTGCTCTGCCACTCAAGAATGATGGGTTTAGGACACACCCTAAACTGACAGGCCTTGTTAACAAATCAGAGAAACCCTCTTTTCAAGTGGGGTCATACCCATAAGCACAGAGTTCAGGACTCTGCACTTCCTCTGTGGGACACAATTCAGTCCCCCAGTAACATGGTGGCCGTGCCTCCCTCAGGTCGAAGAACTCATCTTCAGACCTGCGTGCTGTCCTGGTCATGTGGTCTAAGGCAGAGTATGAGTCACTTGTTGTTGTTGTTATGTGCCGTCGAGTCGTTTCTGACTCATAGTGACCCTATGCACAACAGCCCTAAACCCTGCTCTATCCTGCGCCAACCGCACTGCCTCTGACACACCCATCCCAATTACCCCAGTCACTGAATCGATCCATCTCATAGAGGGTCTTCCCCTCCTGCGCTGTCCCTCCACCCTCCCAAGCATGATGTCCCTCTCCAAGGACCCGTCCCTCCTGGCAACATGTCCAAAGTATGTCAGACGAAGCCCCAGAATCCTTGCCTCCAAGGAGTAGCTTGGTTTAATCCTCTCCAAGATGAATCTGTTTGTTTTCCTGGCAGTCCATGGTACATTCAGTACCCTTAGCCAACCCAAATACAGGTGGTTGAAATGCACCAGCTGTTCCATGTCTGAGAGTTTTGCAGTCTCCTCTTGTCTAGTTTACTCTGGAAACCCGCTAGAGGGGTAGCTATCCTGTGTTCTGACTCCATGACAATGACTTCCGGAAGCAGCCTCCACCCACTGTTGTTACTGTGTGCTTTGCAGTCAGAACCAATCCATAGCTGACCCTCTAGTGGTTTCCAGAGGCAGTAAACAGCATGGGAAGGGACTGCTCAACCTTCTCCCACATCTGATGGAGTCAAACCGTGTGCCTTTGAGATTGCAGCACAGCTTCTTACATGTGGGAAATTGTTTGGGGGTGACAGACCATGAGCTGGTAGGGGCTTTAAGCTGCAGTAGTCACTACAGGATAATCTGGACTGTTGTCCCTGGCTAGCCAGGTGGCCTGTGGGAAGCTCAGACAAGCTCAGCTGTGCCCTTCTCCCACCCACAGAAGAAAGGGGTCTACAACAAAACCCCAAACCAGAGTATTAACGGCCTGTTTTCAGTTTCCAGAAGCGACCTGGATGTTGAAGAAAGGAAGGTCACCAGGGGGAAAGGGGAAGGCAACTTGCCTGGGTTGAGTCTTCCTAGCCTGTCTAAGCAGAGGCCCTGGACCCAAACCTTCTCTGCTCAAGCAGACTGGAAACCCATTCTGCCACTTCAGGGAGCTTCCCTCCCCACTCAGTAAATGTTTGCATTATGTACCATATTACACCTAGCCATCCACGCTGTTTGTGGCCTCTCTGGAAAAGGGTGTGGGCTGTGTCTCTGGCCACGGGGGACCAAGTGTCATACTTGAAGCTGGTCTTGCTATCTTGTCTGTGAGAATGGTGGCGTTCCACCACCTGTGTATGTAGGTCATGTTTTCTGCTGGTGATCTCAGGCCTTTGCTCACCTGTGCGACAGAGGCCCTATCTGAGTTACCAATGAGCCCTATTTAAAACCCTCATCTCTGGGGAAACATCCCTTCATTCAGGCATGGACCACCTCAGAGCACAGACCTTTTCTCCCTGGCCTGGCTGCCAAGCAAAGTCTTAGAGTACAGCAGAGTGCTCTCACAGGAGCCAGGCACCTCTCCACTGACTGACCTTTGGAAATCTAGCAAAAGGAATCTGTGGAAAGGGTAAAGGAACACTCTGCTCTCTTTTCATGACACACTGGATGACCAGCTTTGCCCATCTGAGCCCCTAACACACTCTTTTCGCTTTACCTAAAACTAAGGATAACCTGTTGTTAGTTGCCACAATGCTGGTTCCAGCTCATGTAGAACTTGTACCTGACAGACCTCTATTAAGTGATCTTCACAGAGCCTGGGATAAAAAAAATGCCTTCCATATTTGTTCTTTATGACTAGTTTTAAGAAAATCAATAGTTACTGATCAATAATTACTAGTAGTAGGCTGAAACTAAGATTACTAATAGCCAAGAGATTCCTAATAATATGGAATGGAAAAGGGGGTGAAAGTGGTTAAAGTAGGAAAAAAGAGCTTCTAAAACTTAAATCTAAGAATCAGACACGCTGGAGAAGGAGGGACAATCTCCTGTACCAGTCAAATCCGATTTGATGCTACATACAAAAAAAAATTTTAGAAAAAATCAGACACGTACTTGGCACCTGAGTTTGCTCATACAAGTCTTTAGGGCAGTGTGGAAGGGGCTCCTGC